GCAATTCTGCCTTTAAATGCAGAGACCAAGTATGTTCCAAAAGAAAAACCACAAAGTGTCAGGCAGGCTGAGTGGGCTGGCCACAGTTGACTGACATGTGGCATGTCCTTCTGGGTTTTGTTCACCAGTCACTCCAGTCCAGTGACAAGTCATGAGTGTGCACCCCAAAATAAGATAGGTATAGGGATCACTTCTGAAGTAACATTTTTATCAAATGCTGAGGACTCCACAGGACTTCAGCTTGAGGTCCGGAAAGCATGGTGAGAGTTAAACTTTCATTGACTTTTTCCAATTAGATCATTTCACCCCTAGCTAACAATGAAAAAGAATCTTTAAAAAAAAATCTTTTCCATGGGATTCAGGATGGGGAACACATGTACACCTGTGGTGGATTCATGTCAATGTATGGCAAAACCAATACAATAGTTTAAAGTAATTATCCTCCAAAAAACAAATAAATAAATTGGTTAATTAATTTAAAAAATCTTTTCCTTAGGTCATCATATTATTGTTCTGTTTGTAGTAAATTTAGGCATTAGGCTGTCTTGCTAACTGGTTGGATAATCTTAGGCAAGTCGCTTCGCCTCTAGGAGTGTCAGTGGTCTTATCTGTAAAACAAAGGTATTGATCCTAGCTCAGGCGATCACCAGGATCCCTGCCAGTCTGCCGCTCTGTGACTTTTCTGCCTCTGCTAGTGAAGCAGGTGTGTGTACAGTCTAATGCCAGCCTCCTCAGGAGTCTTTTATTGTGGCTGCTGCTGCTGCTATTGAGCTAGTAGCAAACTTCAATCACTGCAACTCTAAACTGAGTGACTTGGTATCACTTCACAAATGCTTCTAAGTGAATGAAATAATGTACCATTAGAATCCTGAGATGACCCTCTATGTGCCAAAGAAAAACACCTGGTAACTTTCTAATTCCATAATTATGAAAAAGTAGAGACATCACTTTGCCGACTAAGATTCATATAGTCCAAGCGATGGTTTTTCCAGTAGTCATGTGTGGATGTGAGAGTTGGGCCATAAAGAAAGCTGAGAGCCAAAGAATTGATGCTTTCAATTTGTGGTGTTGGAGAAAACTTTGGAGAGTCACTTGGACAACAAGGAGATCAAGCCAGTCAATTCTAAAGGAAATCAACCCTGAATGTTTATCAGAAGAACTGATGCTGAAGCTACAATACTTTGGTCACCTGATGCAAAGAGCCAACTCATTGGAAAAGACCCTTATGCTGGGGAAAATTGAGGGCAGGAGGAGAAGGGGGCAACAGAGGATGAGATGGTTGGATGGCATCACCGAGTCAATGGACATAAGCTTGAGTAAACTCCGGGAGATAGTGGAGAACGGAAGCCTGGCATGCTGCAGTCCATGGGGTTGCAAAGAGTCAGACACCACTGAGTGACTGAACAACAACAGTTAAGAAACTACCACAATAGCATACAATTAGCAACATTTATCAGTTTATCAAAGCCTCTGTTTTTTTTAACTTGATTTGACTACTTCTTGGACCTTTTCATACTTTCTTCCTTTTCATCTTCAGCTTTAGCAGTTAGTGTTCTTCAGATCAGGCATCTTTTCCCCCAAAGAAATAAGATAAATCACTTACCAAGAGTTAGTGTATACACCATGGAAGGAAGCAAACAATGAAGTCACTTGAGATGCTGATGCTGTCTGTCATTCACACCTTGACCAGTTAGGTGATGGCCTGCTGCCCAAAGGAACCTCGATAAATCTCCTCAAATTCTTGTCTTTGTAAAACTGCCATGGACCTGCAGGGTTTTTTTTGTTGTTGGTTGGTTGGTTGTTTTTGTTCCCATTGCTCTGGATGGACCAATGCTTCTGACTAAAACAATAGCGAGAGCCCCCAGCATCCTTCTCCTCCATATGCTGAAGTCCCAAATTGTCCGGCAGCTTACAGAGGGCTTGGAGTGCACTGGTTTTTGTCATTTCCCAGTTTCTGCCAGTAAGGATGTTGAGAGGGCAAAGATATACAACTCCATGGTTTGTTTATTGTTGTTTTTTTTTTTTTTTTACCAAAGTCAGGCAAGAGAAACAGGGCTATACTAACTTTCTCATATTTAGGATCAGTTTAACCTTTCAGTGCCTCATTTTGGGGGCACAAGACTGCACGTAATCTCCTTACAAGGTTGCTTTCTACCTCTACTGTTTCCACTGTTTGCTCATGTAGTGTTGTACTGTAACCTTCCTTATGATCCCCTCAGGGGGGTCCTTAGCCAGGGGTGGTGTGTGCTCACCTCAGCCCCTGCCTGTGGGGTCGAGAACACACCATCTGTACTTCCCCGCTGCCTGTTGTATCTGTTTCCATAAAAGATCTCACAACATTTACTCCTTCCCCTGAATTCCTTGACTCCACATATTATTTTACATTTATTTCCACCATTTGACCCCGATTGTTTCCTTCTTCAATACAGTAAGTTTTGCTTCTGGCCAATATTGCCCACGCAGCAAGTGGCCCGAGTGTTCCTCCAGCCTCATGGTTCCATGTGCACCCTGACTTGGTTTCAGCTGTCCGCCCCTCTGTCCCGAGCTGCACACGCCCACGTTCACGTCCACGGGCTCCCCCGAGGCTCTGCATGTGCCCATGCACTCTCATGACCTATCTAAAGTCGCTCCCCTTCAGAGTCTTCTGTAGCGCTGCTCCAGCCTGGAAGTCTCCCCTGGTCACTGCCCACCTGCAGCCCCAGAGCTGCAGTCCACCCAGAGCATCCTTCACAGGGCAGAATTAGTTGTGAACACGTGCACGCGTGCCACGTCGCTTTCACCGCCAGGCTCCTCTGCCCATGGGATTCTCCAGGCAAGAACACTGGAGTGGGTGGCTCTGCCCTTCTCTGTGCTGTCTCTCCCTGATCCAGGGATCAGACCTGCGTCTCTTACGTCTCCTGCGTTGGCAGGCAGCTTCTTACCACCAGAGCCACAGGGGAAGCCCAGCTGCGAACATATTTGACTCCCAAAAGAGCAACATCCACTTGGTTTTTGCTTTCCTATCCTTGTCTTCATGCTCAAATACCTTGAAAGAGCATTCTTGGCTTGCATGTCATGACACTGAAAGTCTTCTGCCTTCAGGTGAAATTTCTCGTGTGGTATCATTCTTCAGTCTGTGTTCTCACCTCAGTAAGGAATGTTCCCTTCCTTACTGAATGCTTCCTTCTCCCACCCCTTCCCTTTTCACTTCTTTATAAAATCCATCCCAATAAACTAATTTTTTTACAAAGCAGGAGATTTGGCAGGCACTAGATGTTTGGGATCTGCCAAGCCAAAAGAGTTGAAGGTGGCTATAAAAGATTTTGCAAATACCATTTGTACCAGAGGTGCAGCAGCAGTGTTTATCTGGCTTTTTTGGCTGAAAAACAGTCTCAGCCAAGCTGAAGCTGATTACATTGGCCATACAACAAAGGTAATTTATTCATTATACACAAAATCTCCCATTAACTAAAATCAGGATTTCAACTGCTGATTGAAAGGAAGCTGATGGGTCAAAGCACAGGTACCCTCTAGACCAAAAAGGTGGTGACTCTTAAGAGTACTTTCTAATTGTTTTTCTTTCCTAAACCTAATTACTGTTGGCTGTGCAGATATCTAATAATTAACTTATTCATATAACATTAACCTATATTTTTTTCCCATCACCACTCCCATTCTAATTCACATTCTGCATGTCTGGTGATTTTTTATCTGTTTGAAGTCTTCCTAGATTTCTGTGTGGCTTTTATCAGAAATACTTGGTAAAGCAAAAGCTTAACTGAATTCTTTCCCTGAGAGGATGGATGTTCATTTCTTGAGAGAACCAAGAACTCTGGAGAGTTCTTCCCATTTCTCTAGTATAAATGTGTCTCCTGAGCTTCAGATGGCATTTGCCTCTTCCCCAAGTCTCACTGATTACCACTCACCATTTTGGTCCACCCAAAACTGTGGACTCTGCCCTTCCCCTCCGGTTGTCAACAACTTAATGTGAATGCCAGGTTAAGAGAATTTCTTCCTATGTTTCTTCACAGACACCCTCCCCCGGGGCTGAGCAGACACCTTTGGACTTTCCAAATTCATAATTAAACACCCTGACAGTTTTCTTTTCTGGCTTACTTGTAAAATAAATGCATCAAAGAGTAATTTTTGCTCTCTCAATGTCTGTATCCAGTGTATGTGTAGTGATGGTGGTGGTGTGGGAAGGAGGTCTGTGTGTACTTTGAAATACATAATGCAGTTGTAAGTTTTCTTAGCTTGCCCATAACTAATTCAGAGCCCAAAGGTTATGAGGGATCCATGAGGGGCTGAGAAGGGAGTGGGTGTGTTTGTGCAGATGAAACACGGATGAAGTTCAGTTATCTTCCTACTAGCAAAGGCAGATTGAAGGAAACAGACCACTGAACGGTTCTCACTCACTCACTGATTTTCCCCCTCACCCCGTTCTCCTTTCCTGTCCCCTAACTCCACTTACTTCCTGCAGAGAGACTCAGTGTGGTCTTTCTCAGACATGCTGACCCCTGCACCTCTCAGAGCACTGGTTTTGATCTGCACAGGCAGGATGCTGGTTTTCCAGTCTCTGTAACCTCAGCGGTCCTTCTATTCTCTTCCCAGAAGGAAGCCCAGCATGGGACTCTGGTGGTGATACTCTGAGTCTCTCCTATTCACTAGGCCCTTGATGGGCCTGCTCACTGCAGCCTCAGTGCTCGGAATCTCAGTTCTTCTTCACCTTGGAATTTGAGGGGGTGAAGAAGTCTACTTTCTTTAGGAAATGTTTGAAGGGGGTACTTTTCCGGTAGGCTGATAGATGAATCTTGTCAGGTATATGGGTATGGGTGTGCAAACTTTCAGTGTCAAACACTGCTCATCTAGTTAGCCTGAGAGGAATCCTGGTCCATGTGGCCTGGAGAGGAGAGCTGTCTGTTTGCATTCTGAGTGTCTTTATCTTGTTATTAAAAGACATATTCTCTGGGGATGTGTCTTGTGTGTCTGTCAGTGGAGTCTGACTTCCCTTTTATTCTCAGGGAGGAAGATGAGTACTCGGAACTGCGATCAGAGCTCAGCCAGAGTCAACACGAGGCCAACGAGGACTCTCGCAGCGTGGATCAGGACCAGACCTCTGTGTCTGTCCCTGAAAACCAGTCCACCATGGTCACTGCAGACATGGGTAAGTCTGCCTGCCACTGCCACAACGCCAGGGCTCGGCTTCTGGATTGTAATCAAAACTTTAGAAACATGAGACAGCCTGGATTGAGATTTAGTGAGTCAAGCAGCTTGTTGAGTAGATGCAGGCAGGTGGAAGGCTCATTCGTTTCAGTTCTCTACATATTCCTTTGTTGGTCACAGTGGAACCAAAGAGCTGAATTCCCTTTCTGCCTTGATGTTTGTGATTCAAACATGTCACCTTCTACGTGAAAAGTCAGGAAGTGGGGAGCCAGGTAAAAAGGTGATTGCACTGTTCCAAGTCCAGTAACACTGAGCTGTGATGGCAAGAATGGCAGAAATGGGCCGAGGAGCAACTCACTGCAGGGGAGGAGACGACAGGCTCAGCAGCTCTGGGGTAAGCAGGGCTCCAAAACGACTCTTCAACACGTTCATCCAGAGTGACTCAGAATGATTGTATTCCTTACTAAGGAAGTTTGGTTGAGAAATGATTTGGGAAATAAGTGTTTGGGAAGTATCATGTTTGAGGTTGTGAAGAAATGTCTGTGTGGAAATACCTGGTAACAGCACGTTGGTATGGTGTGTTTTAAGCTACAGGTTATGACCCTTCTAATCTTGAAATTTCATGAAAAATCAAAATGTTATTAAAATGAAATCAAATAGAAAAAAAATGATAGTATTATTGTTTCATGACACATATTTGTTGGATATGTATATGTTGTAAGTTGCCAAGGGAAATGTTTCAACCATGGATGGCAATTGAAATGTTGTAAAACCTCTAGCCTAATTGGAGATGCTCAAATAGATCTCTGGAGAGATTGGGGTTGAGGATAAAGGCTTTGAAGTTACAAGGTAAAGAGCTCCCTATGGTTGAAAGGATGTGAAGTCCAAATGGGGAGAGGCACCATATCTTAGGAAATGTTCACATATAAGGGAGTGATGGGAAAGGGACAAGGAGAAGGAAGAGTAAGTATAGTAGAGTTTGCATTAGAAGTTAAGTTTCCATTGGGGAGAGAGTGACTTTAATCAAATATTAAACACTTATGTTTAATTATAAACCTATATAATAACCAGGCCTTCCCTATATAAACTTATAATATAACCAGGGCTTCCCTGGTAGCTCAGCTGGTAAAGAACCCGGCTGCAATGCAGGAGACCCTGGTTCAATTCCTGGGTCAGGAAGATCCTCTGGAGAAGCGATAGGCTACCCTCTCCAGTATTCTGGGGCTTCTCCGGTGGCTCAGCTGCTACAGAATCCACCTGCAATGTGGGAGACCTGGGTTCAGTCCCTGAGTTGGGAAGCTCCCCTGGAGAAGGGAAAGGCTACCCACTCCAGTATTCTGGCCTGGAGAATTCCGTGGACTACAATCCATAGGGTCGCAAGGAGTCAGACACAACTGAGTGACTTTCACAACAACCTACGTAAACCTGTATGCATGCTATAACATCAAGAAACAGAGTACCGTGGCAGATTTCCAGGAAAGCTTCCTCTCAGAAGTGACATTTGAGCTGAGATGTGGAGGATAAGTAGGAATTGAGTACATGAGAGAGGAAGTGGCATGCAGGGGAGAGGGCATGATGTATTCAAGGCGGTGAATAAGATCATCCTGTATGAAGGGTGCAGAGGTGTGAGACAGAGGTTGGGAGAGGCAGGCAGGAGCCAGACTGTGCAAGATCTCATAGACCCCGTTAGAGTCTGACCATTATTCAGAGACCCACGAGAAACCGTTGAATGATTTTAACCGCTGTAGATGGGAGAAATGAGATGATCAAATGGCATTTTGAATCAATCACTCTGTAGTGAAGAGAAAGAATCAGTGGATCAAGAGTGAATGGGGGAGGCCAGCCAGGAAACCATTGCCGAAGTCAAGGTGGGCAAAATTGTTGCCAGGATTAAAGGTGGTGGCCGTTGAGTCGTGGAAAAGCAGATAAGTACAGAAAATTGGCAAGATCTTCTGAGGAATTCATCACAGGGTAAAGAAGGAGGGAGGCATGCGTGGGTGTCTCATGTCTGGTTAGCCCAGTGGGTGGGTGGCAGGGCCAATCAGCAATATGGGAGCAAAGGAAAAAGGACTCGGTGGTTTTGCTCTGAATTTAGTTTTGTTGGGGAGGGGTATGGGTGGGGTGGAGAGGAGGGTGTGTGTTTTGTTTGGGCAGAAGTTTCAGGTGTCTGGAGCTATCTGGATGGAGATGTTGGGAAGGCAGTAGGTACACACAAACCACAACAGGTCTGGCTGAAGAAAGCAGTCGGGAGACGTCAGGCTGTTTGCAGATAGTTACAGAAGCAGTGGGAGTCGATGTGAAGAGCACGGAGTGTAGAGAGTTAGAGGCGAGGCGTAGGGGGTCCCGGGCCGCGGAGGAGACGCAGGCGCACCTCGTGGCAGGGATGAACCTCTCGGCTTAAACGCGCTTCCCCCAGAGCACCTCGCGAGCACCCGTCTGCACGTCCCCGCGCCGCCTCACTGGTCTCCTTCTTACATCACACTGAAAGTTTAAAGGATGTGTCTGTACTTCTGTGCCTGACTGACGCTCCCACTAAACAGAGGAGGGTGTGTGTTTTGTTTGGGCAGAAGTTTCAGGTGTCTGGAGCTATCTGGATGGAGATGTTGGGAAGGCAGTAGGTAAACACAAACCACAACAGGTCTGGCTGAAGAAAGCAGTCGGGAGACGTCAGGCTGTTTGCAGATAGTTTCGGAAGCAGTGGGAGTCGATGTGAAGAGCACGGAGTGTAGAGAGTTAGAGGCGAGGCGTAGGGGGTCCCCGGCCTCGGAGGAGACGCAGGCGCACCTCGTGGCAGGGATGAACCTCTCGGCTTAAACGCGCTTCCCCCAGAGCACCTCGCGAGCACCCGTCTGCACATCCCCGCGCCGCCTCACTGGTCTCCTTCTTACATCACACTGAAAGTTTAAAGGATGTGTCTGTACTTCTGTGCCTGACTGACGCTCCCACTAAACCGCACTGAGCAAAAGCTTGTTTGTTTTCTCTACTCGTGGCTCTCCGGAGCCCACCACAGGGCCTGGCACAGAGTGCAGTGTGGGTTCAGAGATACGTGGTTGAATGAAGGGGTGGTGCGGTCAACCAGTACCTCAACCAGGCGGTCAGCCGACGCTGTAAGGAGTGCCCATCAGGCAGTGGGGGGAAGGCTCTCATGAGGAAGGAGGGTCCCCAGTGTGGATGGTTGCTAAGGCCACATGAGACGGACGTTCCTGAGTGCTGGGCACTGATACCAGCTTGAGCCAGACAGAAGCAGCTGAGGAGAGGGCTTACCTTGCAGGCCTGGGGCCCTAGCTTCAGGCTGAAGCTGCTTCCCTCACACTAAGCTGAACCCAGACCCCGGGCCTGCGATCACAGCACACCCAAACCCCCTGGTGACCAGCCCAAGTCCTCTGGGCTCCATTATACCAGCATCATAATCTTGAACCCTGGTGGCCTCGAACTTCTGGACTCAGGCTTCCGGCCTCAAGCAGTCAGACGTGTGCAGTAGCCGAGAAGTTTCCGTCACTGCCCAGACACATTCCTACACACACCCCTCTCTTCAGTTCTCTGAAACTATTTTTCATGAAATTAAGCAAGTGACCCACACTCCAACACAATTTCTTAATCAAAGAAACTTGGGGAGTTGGAGGGCAAACTCCCTCCAGTGGATGGGGCAGGTAGTGGGGTGCGTCTTCACCGCGGGCGTCCCAGGGCTCCCGTGGTGGGGAATCCCCTATACCCGGGTGCCCCCACGGGAGCCAGTGTCTGCCCGTCTGCACCGGGAGCAGGCTTTGTTTTCCCAAATCATGTCTTTTCGCCCTTTCCCTCGGTAAAAATGCATGTTCGTTACAACTGGTGGTAGTTTCACTCCCGACAAGCCTGGGCTCCTGCAGGGAAGGGACCCTTGTGTGCCGGAGGGCTGTGTGTACCTGAGTGCTGGGCACTGATACCAGCTTGAGCCAGACAGAAGCAGCTGAGGAGAGGGCTTACCTTGCAGGCCTGGGGCCCTAGCTTCAGGCTGAAGCTGCTTCCCTCACACTAAGCTGAACCCAGACCCCGGGCCTGCGATCACAGCACACCCAAACCCCCTGGTGACCAGCCCAAGTCCTCTGGGCTCCATTATACCAGCATCATAATCTTGAACCCTGGTGGCCTCGAACTTCTGGACTCAGGCTTCCGGCCTCAGGCAGTCAGACGTGTGCAGTAGCCGAGAAGTTTCTGTCACTGCCCAGACAAATTCCTACACCCACCCCTCTGTTCAGTTCTCTGAAACTATTTTTCATGAAATTAAACAAGTGACCCACACTCCAACACAATTTCTTAATCAAAGAAACCTGGGGAGTTGGAGGGCAAACTCCCTCCAGTGGATGGGGCAGGTAGTGGGGTGCGTCTTCACTGCGGGCGTCCCAGGGCTCCCGTGGTGGGGAATCCCCTATACCCGGGTGCCCCCACGGGAGCCAGTGTCTGCCCGTCTGCACCAGGAGCAGGCTTTGTTTTCCCAAATCATGTCTTTTCGCCCTTTCCCTCAGTAAAAATGCATGTTCGTTACAACTGGTGGTAGTTTCACTCCCGACAAGCCTGGGCTCCTGCAGGGAAGGGACCCTTGTGTGCCGGAGGGCTGTGTGTTCTCTGCCCGCAGTAGGAGCCGTCAGTCATTCATGTAGCCGCTCACTGAATGCTGTGCTAGGGATGTGCATGTGAGACCAGAGCCTGCCCTCACACCGCTGCGCTCGCAGGCTCACACCACCATCCCCAGGGTGACATCCCCACTGCTCACTCTGACCTGCAGGCCCACGGAACCTGGAGAGCCCCCACCTCAAACCCTGTCCTTCCCGCCTCTTCCTGCTTCCTTCCCGCTCTGGCCACGCCGGCCTTCCCTGCTATCCCTCAGACCTGACCAGCGTCTCTGACCTCAGGGTCCCTGCACCCACTGATGCCCACTCGTCCTTTCTCTCGCAGTCAGTCGCTCTCCCCTCCTCACAGCCTCCCCAGGCCCCTCGTGGGGTCGCAGAGCTCTCCCCCATGTAC